TGCGAGACGGTGTCAAAAGCTTTGCTAAAGTCAAGGTAGATTAAATAATTAATTAAATAATTAATGGGATAAGTATTTGTGAAGTCCTTCAATTTTTAATCTGAGGCACATTTATATGTCAAACAGCTGTGTTCTTTTAAAAAGCAACCAAGAGTAAAAAGACTTGGAAACACAAAAAATATGAAGCCTCTACTAATTTGAATGCTAAGATCATGCAAAGTTTACAGTAAGACACTGTGTTCCAGGAGGTTCCTTTAAACTTGAAGAATTAACCTTTCTTAAATTATGGTTATCCAGAGACAACTTTCAAGATTGGAACAACATATTGTTAAAGTTAGAAAAATATACTTGTCTTGGAAGTATTTTATAATACTATTTTAAAGTTCATAAAAGCAACTGGATTACCAAAAGTTCAGATGTTCCCAGCACATCTAATGTAAGTGATTGCATTCTGGAATAGTGAACACCAAGTTCTCTGTGGATTCCTGAGCATTCAATGCAAGTTAAAATTCCCAAATTCGTTGAAAGCCAGGTAGGATCTGAAACAGAAAGCACCCACAGAACTAACATTTATTCAGGTATTTATTACATTCTAGAAAATGTAGTATACAGAAATGAAATTCTGTAAAATAAGATTCCTGTATGTCAAGTATCAGGTTTTTTAGTTTATGTCTTGACATTTACTCTATTGGGAAACACCAACCAGGATTTTTTTAATGGTGAAAGAAGTGAAGATGCTTGCTTTTTTTTTTTTTTTTGTTTCCCCCTGGGGGTGAAGACATAGCCCTCCAAGGGAGCTGCTCAAACAGTCCAGTTTATCATTCTCCACCACCAATATAACGCTGTCACATTCTCAATAGGGGGCATAGGTGCAGTTCAAACTGAAATAATGCCTACAGGTGGGTTTTTTTGTATTTCAAGTATAGACTTTAGACTAAGTGAAGGAGCAGTGATTCTGAAGTATACATACAGCACTACACTACAACGGATTCTCACTCAACTATTTCAAAGATACTAAGTAGTGCAATTAAATTGTTACCATATTCTACTATGTGTATAATCTTTGTGAGATGAGTAAAAATGAAAGCATGAAACATCAGCTTAAATACTCTCATCAGCCATAGAATTTTTAACAATTAGAAATATGCTTAATTGAGTCACCTTGTGCTCCACAGTCACAACAGACATCATTTCCAGTCATCCTCTGGACTTCAGATATAATTTCTTTTGTCAGTTCCTGGACAATATTATTTTCTCCTGTGTTATCATCTCCTTTGAATGCATTATTTAAAGCTTCCTCTTTGCTGTTTTGTAGCACAGATGTCCATCTAAAATGGCAGTAATATTTTGGTATTAAATATTTCAGCATTTCTAAAGTTCAAGGTAACGTCTCAGTAGAACACCAGTATCAGAAATAAAATTAGCAAAGTAACTCACATTTGACATTCCTGTTCATCCTCTGCTTGAAAGTGGTACGTCCTGTCGTCTGCACAATAAATAATTCACATACTGATTAAAAAAAATGATTGAAAAACTGATTTTGCAGAAATCTCTCAGAAAAATCTAGAATTAATTGATGTATGACTCCTGAGGTCTCTAGTCTCATCACTGAGTGCTGACAGACAAAAAGTCTATTTAGCAAGTTTTGCTTGTACTACCTGCAGTTGCTCTATGTTTATACCTATGTTTACACAAGGTGGCTTGTTGCTTTTTAAACAGAAACTGTTTTCTTCAGTGCTGTGCTTCTATCACATAAGCAGCAGGAGAGCATAGTAATTTTTCCACATTCTAGATAGAACCTCAGTATTCACAGGCCTGAAGTTCTGCTGGGGATGGTGGTGTGTGTGGCAAAAATATAGAGTCCATATTTGAGTTTATCTGTGTATATAAGAAAGATTTAAAGTTTCCAAATGAGCTCTTAAAACCACAGTAATAAAAAATGACAAAACAAATTTGACAGGCACAAAGTCCAAGCTACAATCAGGATAAGCCCCAAGCTGTTTCAATTAAATCAAGCTAAAAAAATTCAATTTACTACTACTTCTGTAATTCTAATCATTGTTATCATAGTGCACTATTAAAGAAAAAAGCATAATACATTTTAAGTCTATGAAACAAATGAGATATGATACAGTTTGGTGATCAAGTTGGAGTTAAAATCAGTGTAGTTGATGAGAACAGAGGTGAAGCTGCTGGCAAAAAGATATTCTAGGTTGAAAATTCCTGAAGTTTGAAAAATATTCAGGCAAAAAAGGTATTAAAAAATAGTTTAAAACATGGAAAATGTTAAGAGAGCGAGGATACATGAAAGGACAGAAAGGAAAGTGCTAAAGAGATTTTATCTTGCTATGATACAGCAATTTAGTTTTTAAAAAACAAGGAATGTTTGTAAACTCTATACTAAAACAAAGCGAAAAAGTGATCTGGAGAAGGCTAAGAGGTCAGTTATGCCTTCTCATATGTATGATGGGACAAATGATAATGTTGTGATAAGCTGATATTGGGCAAAATGGGACATGGTAATCAACAAAGAAAGAAAGTGCAAAAGTAAACAGGGAAGACCACTTGCTTGTGCAGAAATGGAAAAGCTGTATATTGCATACATGAGTACTAGCCTACTAACATAAGCAGCATATCTTACATTTACAAACAGAAAGAACTTTATGGTCTGACAAAGGAAAAAATGAGGAATAGATTTATATTCTTCTCACCAAATAACTTGAGAAATATTTTAGTAACATATTTCTATTGAGCCCGTAAATATAATTCTAAAATGTCCCAGTGAGAAAACAAAGGAAACAATTTCGTATCATCCCATTCAGTTCCCCAAATTATTCAGTTTTGGTGTTTTTAATGTGTAGACTTTTTATCTCACCTTTATATCTATTATGAGATAACAAAACTAAAAAAGTGTGTTTTCTTCACAGTTACATAGCAACCACTATGCTTAAACTTTAAGAAGTTTCGTCATGTTTTAAAAGCTTCTTCTGATCTTGTACAAAAGTCATAACTTTCCAAGATGATCACCTATTACATTTTCAATGCAAAGAGTGATGACACAGCAAAAATATTGTTACTCTATTGTAAGGCAGCACAAAATGCTGTGGAATGAAAGAGTAAAGATAGCTTTAAAACCAAGTGGTTTTCCAAAGAAACAGGTACAGTTATTATATTATTATGCTAAAATAAGTGAAACGGTAAATTGTCATAGGAAGGGCATTTTATAAAGGGAAGCATTCTACAATTGCAAAAATGTTTAAGTGGATTATTGACACATCTACACAAATAATGCAAAACCCTTTGATATTAGCTGCAAGTAAAAAGACCTAAACAACAAACCTACGTGATATGAGGTCAAAACATTTTTTCTCCTCTGGGTTTGTTTTCACTTGGCAGGTTAACAGATTGAGCTTTGCTGGAGGTCGGTTAGCCTATTTGAAAATAAAGCATACACATTTTAGTATATTTATACTGACTGAGCCCTGAAGCCCAAAAACATAGGATAACACCCCACTGGCCAAAAAGACTTGACAAATGGCTGTTACTTTAATTTTTAAGGTACCCAGGTATTGATCTATGTTTTCTTCTGCATCATGGTTTGTAAACTGCATTTTCTTGTGTTTGGCTATTTTGTTCACTGATAAATAGATAGACACTAGAATTTTCAAAGGGGAGAGGGGTAAAATCACTTCAATTATCACTACTCTGATCACCTTACCAGTAACACTTATTCGAAGGAATCAGGTATGACAAAGAGACAGATTAATTTCACGTAAGTTTAATCCGCTAACATTTAGAAATTTCCTTTAAAAAAATGAGTTGTCTAGTTTTTCAATAATCAAATTATTTGACTCCTGCTCATGTCTTTAAAGAGAGCCTAGATAACCAGTTTAGAACAAAAGCTCAATTTTTAAAATCACTAAAGGGACACACTGAAGGAAAATAAGAAGTTTGCACAGAGAAGTCTTGCAACAAACATATGCAAAACTAAACTGAGATAGTTCATTACCAAAAAATGTAGCAAAACAAAATATATTCTGTAATGATACATGTTTCCTAGTCAAGTTCCTCTCAGCTATTTCAGTTCCTTATTGAATAAAAAGTGGCAATGTTTTACTAAAAGCAAAATGCACAAGCAAACTTCATTTTGAAAAAGTCTCACAAAGGCTACAAAGACTTTTCAAATAGCATCTCTGCACTAAACTCTTCTTTCCCTTAACCCGCTTATCCTGCAGACCTGGGGTAGGACCTAGTAAGATGTTATGTTTGCAACCTTGATTTGAGAAATGGCTTGCACTTGCTACTATGCATAACTAGTTTCACTCTTCTTTTAGAATAATTAAAACAGAAAGCAGATTTAACTAGAGAGGCTCTGCTGTAGACAATAATATCTGAAAAATAATAATTTGTTTAAATCATTAGGGAAGTACTATTATAAAGACAGCAATATTCATAAACACATTACCACGCTTATTGTTGCGCTCTAACAATTTTAATCTATCAAGTTGCTAAAACAAGATTTAATCATCTAAATAAGAACTATTATCAAATGAAGCTGAACTACCACATAATATAATTAACTTGCAATGAATCACAAGAAATGTACATCTTCTCAATCTCTTCTAAATTTATCGATGAAAACATTTCATTTAAAAAAGAAGGGAGAACAAGTCTGAAGAGTACAGATTTCCTTGAAACAATCTGATAAAACAATGTAGCTGGCCAAAAAAGAACAACATCATTATGTCTGAAGACCAGTAAAAAACAAAACCATGGAGAAACATAAGAAGGGAAACAATTACGGGTTGTTTTTTTTTCCTGTTTAAAAATTTTTCCTTTTTAAAAAAAAAAAAAAAAAAAGCATGGTGTCCTTGAAAAGCAGCATGCTCATGCTTTGCCCAACATAAGCAGCAGACATAACAAAGTCATGCACGCTTTGAAACAGCAAACCTGCAGGTCACTTGTTGGGCAACGTAAAACAAACTGTACCCAGGAGAGGTTTTGGAGGCAGCAAGATGACAATTAATTGACAACCACATTGTATTCTCTGCCTAGTAAACAGCTTTTCAAATTCCAGACATTCCTTTTAGTAGTAAAAGTGCATACAGTTTTCATTATTTTAGCCTATCAACAACAACAGTTCTTTCTAACTAGAAGCATACAAGAAAACATCTTGACAATGCCAGCTTGGGCCCACTTTCTTGGTTATATTTAAATATACTTAATATCCATAGCATTGAGTTTCCAGTGTTTACATTTTTAATGTAACTATTTGTCCAAGAAGTGTCCAGAAGCTGCCTACAATGAAAATATAAAATAAGCAAACAGAATTCAAAATATAAGTATTTGGTAAGCAAGCCACTGGGCAACTCATATATACCTTTCTCACAGGCTCTATGAGAATGTAAAAATGCAAGTAAATTCAGCTTAAGAATGAAATCTACTTGCCCTGGGCTTTGGATCTGGAAGCACATTCAGGACCTAAATAGTTTTCTATAACTTAGGAAATATGAAGCGGTAAATGGACCCACTAAAATGCTTCAGAGAGATCTGAAGGACCAATATACACAGAACTCGTCCCTCTGGATAGGAGAATGCAGCATAAGAACTCCGTATCAGGATCTAAGAACCCAAAGAAATGGCTGCAACAACCTAAAACACGTCCTGGGCCAACGTGCTGGTCTTGGAATCCAAACATATTCCAAAGCTTTTAACTGAGGACCTCCTAACCTGAAGTCAGAATTAACAAGGGTATTAAAAAACCCTGACATCTTTGCCTGTGGCTGCTACCACCACATTTACGCTTTTATCCTGTGGCCACGTAACAGCCTCTCCCCACCTACCTCCCCAACACGCGCCCATTGCTTCGCAGACAGCACTCTTCCAGCACACGGTAGATGCTGCCTGGGGAGAAGTTAGAACCTCAAGACAAAGGGAGGCAAGGCTGTATGAATCCCTCAGCCACACTAGGCTGTAGGGTTGAACCAGACTTTTGGCAGGATTAGGAGACACTAGAAGTAGCAAATGGTAACAAATGCGTAATTGCTGTCACACTATTTGTTTGAAACCTCTGGGTTTCATTTTCCTGCTTGAGTCTCTGATTAGACAAATTTCAGACTACTAGTGAATTTTTGGACATCCACGTTAACACACCAACACCCTGAAAAGATGTGCTACCACCTCTCATGCCATACATACAGACTTCGGCATCAACTTGTGTTCCTTCCTGGAGAAACTGTAACCTTCCATCCACCAAAACTGACTTCTTATAAGTTCTGGCAACAAACAGTAAGTGTAGGAATCAAAAGGCTAGGCCTCTAAGACAATACCGAGGAGTGCCATGATACAGAGCCGATTTTTACAAAAGGCACGAGCAAACGTGTCCACTTACTTAACACACTGGCTGGCTGATTTCATCATGCATTTTTTCTGGATATCACAGTGATTTACTTAAGAATCAAAAGATTAAATCTGATTCTTTTGCCTTCAGATTGCCCTGTTAATCATAATGGTAGATTAAAGTTTCCAGCAGTAAAGAAAGAACAACAAAAAAAGATTCATTGATAATGAGTCTCTCATGTTCCTTTTTTGCAGACAACCAGCAAATTCCATTTAAGCTCTTTAAACACAAATCAACTTTGAGGAATCTGAGGTTCCTCAAATGTAAGTTTTTTCCCTTGGGACTTCTTGATCCGTAAACCACTTAGGAATTCTTATTTACATGGTTCAATCTGCTTCTCTCATTTTTTCATCCACGTACATTAAATTGCAGCCAGGTAGATGTCAGAAAATTTCCAACTGCTAATAATTACACAAAGAAGCAGTGTCTGTTTTTCCATCAACCATTGCCTTGCATGTTGCTCGATGAATGCTAATTTCTTTGAAGCTTTTAGTTGTCTAAAAGTATAGCTTCTGCACATATGCCAATGTAGACAGTTGTATTCAGCATTACAGCTGGGTGACTGACAGAGAACTAACCATATTCTCCCCATCCATATCAGGAGAGCACTTGGCAGGCAAGTTTAAGTCAGAATACAGCATCTGCAACTGCCTGGAGATAGCTGTTCTAGAAACTGACTGAAAAAATAGACCCTGTAATGGGAGGCTACATGACCAAAGAACAGAAATCCATGAAGAATACTTAGCCTTTAAAGGAAAAGCATTTACAAATTTATATTTGATAAAGCAAACAAAGCTGACAACTGAACTTCTGAGAGATGGTTCATTTTGATGAACAGCTGGGAAGAAAGAATGACATACCATATTTTACAGACCAGGAGATATCAACCCTGAGAAAGCTTGGAAATCAATGCTGTTGCTTCAAGAAGTCTCAGAAGACATTCAGAGCAGCCCAGAAAATTCTTAACAAACAGAAATTGCTTCTGCCCATTTCAACGTCTATGAAACAAGCATTATTTTTTAATGCAAAACTGCCATCAATACATAAGGGAAAAGTGAGCAAATAAGTAAAAATACTTTTTAGGAGTGTATTTTAAAACAAGAAGGTACTCTCTTAATTTTGTAATAGAAAAAGACCCAGACCAGACCTATGAAACCCATATATCTAAACTCACATTTAAGTACATACCTTAGCAACTGATTTCCAGCTACAGCTCCCCTGATTTCAGTGGGAACTTACTGCTTCTAAAAATTTTAGGCCATCTGGTAGACAACTTATAAAAAGAGAAGAACAACAGTATCTTGATAGACTCAGTGACTGTACTTGCATGTGGAAGTTTTAAAATTCTGCTCCACAAGTGGATTTTGTAGCCTTTGCCAGCTCTGAGCTGCCCTAGCTACACTCCTACTGTACTGCTACAGCATGCCCAACGCAAAGTGCATTTACACTACACGGAGACACCAGTCTAGAAACACGAACAGACTTTTCTCTGACAGAGACACACTCATACACACTCAAATGAGAACAGGGATAAACTGGTGGACAATTCCAAAGCCATAGTAATGACTCTACTTTGCAGGCCTGGTTTTGCACTCCTCCTTAACTCCTGGCTGTCCATTCAGAAGGCAACAGCTTGTGGTTAGATGCACAAATGAGAGATTGATTCATTTTTGCTGCCAGGGTCAACTTGTAGTCATAGCAACAGGCATAACAGGATGAAGAACAGAACAGTTCATAACAGGATCAAGAAACAGGATTATTTATTAGACCAAGAATGGGAAATACTGTCACTGAGTTGGTTTTTGCCTTAAGAAACTTTCTTAAAAGTTTTGAGAGAGCAATATAAAAAGAGAAAAGTTATGGGAAAGCAAAAACAGCTGAGTTCAAAGCCAAGTGTAAAAAGTCCAAAGTAGGAAAGTATAAAGTTTCAAAACTTTAAGTATAGCTATTAGAAGTTGGTTAATGTGTTTCAAATACTGGTAGCAAAGAAAGAGGGACTTCTAACTCTGTATCTCTTGTCATTCTGGTAGAAGTTGTCTTCAGAGTTGATTTTCCCCAAAAGCTACTCCCTGGGAAAGCTACCTTCATAACAGATTACCATACAGCAGCAAATCTGGGGGCGAGAAGACATTCAGCATTCTCTCAGTTTGTCTTGTAAATATAAAAAATTGTTTAACCCCTATCTAAAAGATGGCTTAATGCCCAACCATATCTTTCCAAAAAAACAAAGTTAGAATTTGTATTTTTAGATGGTCTGGTAGAATATGAACAGTTTACATGAACTAAATGAGTCATTAAAAAGCCATTTTTTTCCATTAACAGTCATGAGTATTAAAACAGTTGTATTTTTAGATACTGTGTATGTCTTGATATATTTCTGAAAGAGACTGCCTTAAAAAAAACCGTATCCATCGTATTCAAAACGCTGCATCAGGAATCTAGCTACTTCCAAATTATAAATATAGACCAGCATAGCTTGCTTTTTTTTTTATTAGCAACCATGTACATAAAATACTGTAAACAAATACTTACTGTACCATGGGAAATTGTAAGAAAACCATTTTTAACTGAGCATTTCCTTTTCTGCCACACTTTTCTGATTCTGGTTTAAAGGGGGGGAAAAAAAAAAAGCGACTCAGTTTTTAATATATTTAGTATTACATTGCTTCAGCTCTTAGGACCTAAATTTTTTCAGTAGCATCCAGCAGTACTTACCCATCACTTTTCTTGTACAGACTACCATTTCGTTCAGTGCCATGTTCCTTGTTTCCCTGAGGCTGATGTAAACTGTAAGCTGTACTCTGACGAATCTGAGAATCCTGAAATATACAGAACAGCAATTTGTAATCCCTTCCACACTTTCAACCAAAATATCCCCCCATTAATGAGTTTCAGAGCCTCTCCTTCCTGCTCTAATCCTACAGGCCAAACGAAGCAGTTTTCCTCCTTAATGAGAGAGAACAAGATCCATTTCTTTTTTCAGAGAGCACAAAAAACATTTGAGAAGTAGCCATTATCAGCACCTGACGAAATTCTCTTACTTGCTTTTATTTAGCTTTACTATTGGCCTTACCATAAAGGTTTTTAAACACAAAACTTAATTGAGCAGCAGGCTTTCCAATTCATGCAAACACTGCAGTGTACTAACTCTAAAGATTATTATTACCTGCAATTCATAGTCCACCCTTCCATTGTAAAAAAATTACATACATAAATTTGAAGAAGTGGTTTTCCTTATGGAAACTGAGTCAAGTTATTCTCTGAAAAGCAGAAGAGACCTCCCTGAAACATAGTTCAGGACACTTACAGGAAAACTGAGAAGTTATTTCCATAAGAAGAATAATTTAAATCAAAATATCTTGAACAAAGTAGAATTCTGGGACAGGAAGTGATGAGGATTAACTAAGCCCTTCTCACTGCTCTCAGCACTACCCAGAGGCAGGACCCACTGCTGCAAGAGTCCCACTTCTTAAAAAACAAGAACCCGATAATGAGGAATCTGATGCGTCATGCTATATTAGTAGCAGGAACACGACGGGATGGACTTTTCAATGCATACAGTAACAATGACTAGTACTGATAACATTTATTGCTTTCTTTTCTACTACCTTTGCTCTATGGACGTAATATACCTACCTCTGTTGTATTCGGCAGATAATACGAGTATAGCGAGGAAAAAAACCCACACAGCAAGTAGCTCACTTAAGTGACTATCTGAGCTATTCTAAGCAAAAACTTAAGAGCTATTAAGAAATAAGCTTACTAATTTGATAAGAAAAAAACCCTATTTTGCTAAAAAGATGATACAGTGTATCTCAGATATACTGAGACACTTGGACTGTGCTTTTCCCCAGAGAATACCAACTCAGATGGAATGCTGCTCCTTTACAAGCTCCAGCAGCACATTCTGCTACCAAAGCTACTAACGCAGCCAAAGCTGTTCAGGATCCGCCTCAGCAGTAGTGGCAACACATAACAGGTCCAAAATATGATGGCAGGGACCGAGCTACCACCTGCAGCCCTGCTCAGTGCACTTAGGACTCCACACCTCCAGGCTCATCTTGAATACAGTGCTGAAGCTTGGTGGTCCTGAGAGCCATGAGCCAAGCTCAAGGCAGGCTGCAGCACTCCTTGGTGCTCCTTTTCAGCGGAAGCAACCTGTGCCCACTTCCCTGTGTCTCAGTTAGTGATCTAGGAAGCCATATCAGGTAGCTACAACATTCATCTTAGGCTTTTAAAGGCACTACAAAACCACCACTTAAATCTCCATGCCTGACAAAGCATCCCTTCAGATCTAAACCAGTCTGTTTATCATTCCTCTCCAGCCTGTTTACACAGAATTATTTGGTTTTGCATTCTGGCTGCCCAACATAAAATCAGAACAACATTTAAAAAAAAATTCTCATCACTGATTAAGCACTGCTGCACATATACATGTACTGACCTCTGAAGAAAATCTGATCTGACACTGCCTATTGTGTCCTACCAATGCCTTGATCTCTGCCTCCCATTAGTCAGTAAAGGAACTCCATTCCCAAGAAGATTAGAGACCTCACAGGATATTAATTTCAGTTCTCCACATCCTCAATTATGTAAATTTCAGATGACCTCCTACACCTGCCCATAGCACTATTCCCATTACTTCAGACCATGCTGCTACTTCTTGTGAAATATTTTCTGCTGCCTTTTGGCTACCTCCCTTCAGCTGTTGTTTACACTCAGCTGCTGTGTTTGGCCAAACTGGCAAGCCAGTAACACAAGCTTCCTGCCTTATTTCAACCAGAGAGGAAGCTGCTGTAGCTGACGTGTATTTCCACACATTCATTATTATGAACAGTATCTTTAAAAAATTTAATAATATTTCATGAAAGGGAGTGAAGGACAAGACAAGGAGATTTTCAGTTTTAAATCCCCACTTCAGGCTGTGCCCAAATCAACAGTGTGCGACGTGATTGCCAGATGATGGTTTTCCACAGCTCTCTGACAAGCAAGTTCATGAATTTGATCTAGCTCCTAACACACGGGATGCCATACCACAAATCACCATCACAATTAACATCCTTCCGGGCAATTTCAGCATGTCTTTTCCATATGCAGACTCTCCAAAGGATCTTCCCTTATTTCTGGTTTGCATATTGCATATAACAGGAGTACAAATCACAGATAACAGGGTCAGACCCAATGGCCTCATCAGAGGAGCAGGAACAACGTACATTACCTACGGGAGGAAATGGATCACTGCAGGATATAGGACATACCTAGCGCAGAGTATCGTCATTTTAAGTATGTCTTGAACATAACAAGATCAGAACAGACTGAAGTACACAAGCCTAAGAAACTGAACTTTGTCCACTTTATCAGCTTTGAAATGCAGACAGGCATACAAAAAAAAAGGTGAGTCATTTCATTGCAGCATGTTTATAGTGAATCACTTCACTGAGCATAAAGAGGTTTGAAATGATTTCTTCCAAAGACCAACTGACTTCTAAATCAAGCTGAACAGCATAGCGAAATGAAATGTGAAAACAGTATTCTGTAAAGATGTTCTGTGACTACTGATAAAAGAGATTCTACAAACCTATTTATCAGCCCCACTATTTGGACAGAACAGAACTTTCCACACAAGGTGCTTTAACTTATAAATGGCAAATTTTGGCTAGCCATTCCACAGATCACTCCATGCGTAAAGCTGCCAAAAAGCCCTTACAGTCCAAGAGCCTGAGTTTTTCTTGCAGAATCATTATCAAGAGGATGTTTCAGATATCATCCCTTATCTAATAACCCCACAGAGCCTCCAACAGATGTGTCTGCCAGAACCCGCTGCAGGCAGCCTCTCCTATAGCACAGCTACCGTCATTTTTGTCAAGAAACAGAAAATGTATCCTATTTTGCAGTGGCCTAAATAGATTATAGGTTCTACCAAACATGCAGAAGAAACAGAAACAAATCTAAACACTACAGTAAGACTACCTTCAGAGAGGACATGGGAAAGAGAGAAATGAAGGCATTAGGACTCTAAGGTTGACCCCAAAACTTATAGGAGCTCTACAGTTTGAAAAACATAAGTTTAAAAATTAAAAATTAGAGAGGTGTACACACAATGATGTTTCAAAAAGAAGTTTCAATACAAACCAGGTTTGAGGAAGCTCTCTGCAGGAGGGAACTATGTATACAGGCACAACAAGAAAGGTTCACTACAAGTGTTTGAGTCTTTTTTTTTTTTCTAAACACAACAGAAACTATATTTGTCAATGTTCTGTTATTTCATACATTAAGGCCATTTTATTTAAAAAATACATATAACTTCAAAATCTTGCAAGAACATAAAATCAAGCAACTGGATTTAATTCCCAAAAGACAGTGAACAGGAAATCACCAATTTGTCTTACAGCAATTTTCTTTCCCAAAAACAATCTGATAACTTTTTTTTTTTTTGGTAATACAACAAACAGAAGAGGAGGAAAAAAGAACCAGCCTTTTCATACCAACAGAAAAAAGTTCAGAGGAAAAATCCAGTTTCTTGAAATCTGAATGGAAATCATGCCAAGTATTTTCATTAAAACATAGTAACACTTACTCTCCTAGACTTCGGTCACAAAATGTAAATGCATTTCAGGAAGGAAAAAGAAATCAGTTATAGTAAAGGAAATTACAGTGCAACAAGAACAATATTACTGGGTAAATTATACCAGGATTGTTTGGCATCCCACTGATTAATTGATGTTTTCAAAAAACTTTAAAAATAATTATAGTACTTCTCATGCTCTGCAGGTAAGCATCTATAACTAAATTTGCAGAATTAATAAATAATGAATATAGCGTAAAGCACTTTTTACACTTGTATTTTTAAATGCAGCAAAAACAGCACAAGTAATAAATTTATGTGTATTATTACATTTTTTGTCTGTGAAAAGATGTGTGCTCACCACATCTTCCATATACATTTAATATCAGTATCACTGATAAACAGGTAAACACAGAAAAGCAACATTCCCAGCAACCATGAAACCCAACTGCTTTATTATCTCTCTCGAACAAAGACTTGAATAAAATAGGAAGCCTGCTAACACACCCTAAACAGCAAAGACTCCTTATTAAGAGTGGGCAATCAATGGTGAATCCAGAGTAGTTACCATGTCCACTAGGATCACTAGTCTTTCATTCCACAGAGCTCAAATTTGGAAGTTTTTAGCAAATGCACCCCTCAGTGAGTCCCAAATGCCAGGCAGAACCTAAGAAAGTGCCTGCAAACTGTATGGGACTTTGTACACAATGGTCATTATCACAAACTTCACATGGTAACAAACAGCACCTCAAAGTGAAGAGTGTTTAAGACTGTTCGAATGCCTATCAGCAAGTCATAGAAAAACAGAATGGTCTGGGTTGGAAGGGACCTTTCAAGATCATCTAGTCCAATCCCTGGGCCATGGACAGGGACATTTTTCACTAGATTAGCTTGCTCAACAACCACCATCTGGCCACAGGTAAGAGCTAGGAGTCACCATAACCTTTATGGGAAGATAAAAGCAAGACTGGAAAAGATCAAGGAAGTCTGAGCTCTACAGACTAAACTACTTCATTGTGATCCCTCTCAGAAAGAGAATCTGAAAAAGCGGGAGGGGGTTCATTCATAACTTACTCATGGCCCAGCAGCCACACAAAGGAAGCTGGCTGGCATTTATTTATATGAAGAGGAAGCACTAGCAATCTGAAACAAAAGTAGACCCAATATTTAGGATTACATTATAGAAAAGATGCTCTCTTCCAGATCAGAGTTTGCCAAATAAAACTACTCCAGAATTCTTTAAGTCTAACAGCAATCATAACCAAAACTCGAAAAATACTCATTTGCTGAAGTGACCCAGCTCTTGCATGTTTGAAAACTGGCATCTTGCAGCAGAGTAGCAAACTTAATTGTCATTTTTGCAGATGATGACAAGAGGTGCTTTGGGATTTGAAGTTCAGTTTTACATAATCTTTATACAGTTTGGAATATTATTGTGAGATAAGGTTGTACTAATGGGGTCTCCTTGATACTGCCAAAGTTCTTCCATTGTCAGTTTGAGCAACATAGACACCATAGTCTGTTAGTTCACAGACAGTGCACCATCTTAAGTATTTTGCAATATTGGCAACAAGAAGAAATTATTTTGCAATAAGTCTCATTTTTTTTAGTGGGAATTCATTTTAAAAACCCCTGCCTTTGTCAGAAACATTCAATATCAGCATCAAAACAAAGATGAATAAACAAAAGAAATTAGACGGCTGAGAAAAGTTAAAATAACTCTATTTCAAATACTAACATTACATTAGAAATAATTAAAAAGGGTATTCCAAAGTTAAACCACCTTATACGCTCACCTCTTTCTGATCAACCTGGAGTGCTGATTTTAAAATATCTCTAAGCTGTGTTAATTGTCTTCTTTCCTCATCTTGTGCTTGTTTAATCTTGAATGAAGAAAAACACAAGTTAAGAAAACCATTATTGTTTCTTTTCAACACAGTTCTTTCAAACTTGCTACTTAATTGGTTCATTTTTCTGAGAAATGTTCAGCAAGAACGAAAACACAAAGAGAAAAGGTAATGTGATCAGTTTATTTCCCTTTATATCTTCAGAAAACTTGATAATGGCTAGGATGTTGCTGGATTAAGACTTTGATATTGTCTCACACTGTTCTTGCTTCCTTGTGTTCAATTTGAAACCATATGTTATTTTCCACTTAGTCAGTAAACATTTTAAAGCAAAGGCTGTTTTCCTAACATTTTACACAGTGAGGTCCTAAACTGAACCTAAGGTTTCTGGATATGATATTAAAACAAAATTTTACTCAAAAATCTACTCAAAACCTTAAAATGCTGACTATTAAAAGTCGGCCAACTTGAGCCAAAATGGTCACAGTTCTACTGTAAAAAACTAAGTTTACAACACAAATGTGAAAGGCTGCTACTCACTGTATAAAGATCTGTCGAGAGTGTCTCAATTGAAGGCTTCAGACTTTCAACTGCTTTTAACCCATCCTGAAAGAAACTTAAAAGAAAAGCAAAAAGCAAACTGTTATTAAACTTTGTATTTTCTGTTTAAAAAGTTGCCAAAGGAAGACATACATATTATCATGCCATGCCATAAGCTTCAAAACATTAAACATTTATTTTTTATGCATCTTTGACTGATCCACCTCTTTATTTCCATCACAGCTTATTCTAACATGCAAAATCCCCAATTAGATTCAGAACTGCTGCAATCCACTGCCACATAAGTTTTCCTCATTCGTACCTCAAATACAGGTTCTCATCCCGCTTTTTGAAGGCCCAGAACAAGCAAGATTCATTTGTAGAACAGCAAAAGCTCTAGTAGATATAAAATAATTGTGACTTCTTGGAGCCAAATAATTTCACATCTGATGCAATCTTCCTACTAAAGGAAAACCCCTTTGTTTCCCAAGCATTAATTATGGAATATATGCAAACTGAATATGCCACATCTTACCGTATCATGTATTTTTGTATTGGCACAGTAATGTTATCTATGCCAAGTATTCCAGCTCTTAAAAAAAAAAAAAAAAAAAAAAGAAAAGAAACCGCAACTACACACACATTTGATTAAAAATTGCTGCACCATTTGCAACAGAAAATATTTTCACCCTGGGAAGCAGACACGAAAGTGACAGCACAACACAGCATTTATGTTGTTGAATGTTTATTAAGTGGACAGAGCAGATGAATGTCATACTACAAGTGAAACTGATTTTAAAAGCAACATAGCTATATAGGGAAAAAACCTACATAGGTGCAGACTGGTCTTTTAAGATGAAAACTTACTGATTTGAACAGGTTAACAGCAGCTCTTTCAAGTTTATAGCTGTGATTTTATTATTATATTATTGATCTGTAAGACTACCATACCATAAAAAAGTACACCATTCTAATGAGAGCTTTGTGTTTTATTACTAAATTGTCCAATTAATTAGAAAAAGAGTGATTCTTTCAATATAGTTTTATCCCACTGCTTATGCAATTTATTTTTCTTGAGCACATAATTAATTTAGATCATTGCTAGATACACTCAAAAAAGCCCGTCAAAACTAACAGACCACTAATTAATAGACCAAACTAATAGCTCTGTTTCAAGAGTAGTTTATGAAATATGCCAAATTATTGTGGCAGCTCTCCTTTGGAACAGACAATTATGTTCTATGGGACTAGCTCAACCTCATTACATGTTTTGGACTACAGTAACAAAAGCAATGACTAGTCTATGAGAAAAGCAATTTGACAAAAGACATCAGTGAGAACAGTTGAACCTTAGATTTATTTTGAAAAATCTAAAAAAGTGTTACGATGTCAAACGTTTAAAACAAAACATTGCTCCAGTTATTGTGTAGATATAAAGAAAACTAAAACATACTTGCACTGAGCATGAAAATACTTGATCAAGTTCTGAAGCAAGTCCACTCCTTTTTTAATCTTGATTTCATTGACTTTCAGCAGGTACTGTGAAAACAGTAATTCACAAAAGAAATTAATTATTGCTGCTACAGTATTTTTTTAACATTTTATTGTCAGTTATATTTCAGCAAGCTTTAACAGTTGCAGATTTAGAAGACCTAAAAGAGAATGCATCAAACAGTGGCTTCAAGGGTTAATCACACAAAAGCAACTGTTGTCACCGCTGATTTTTGATACCCTACGGGGATACTTCATTATGATTACTTCAAATTGTTAAAACATCCTTCACGGCTCCTAGTGGAAGCCTGCACTAAAGGGAGCAAAAGAGGGTTTGTGTAGTAAATTTAGGAACTCATTCTTAAACCTAGCAGCCCATCTAGGTATCTATCTCACTAGTTGTTAAATTCATTGCTAAATAGATGGTGTTAAGGAAGAAAGCAGTTCACGCAAAAAAGTGAGGGATTATTTTAACCATTTTTTAATTTGCCTTATGATTTCATTGCTTTCTCTATCAATTCCTTATACATGGTAATTACAGCAAATTACAGTTTAGCAAGTGATTTTAAAAATCTACTGTCAAGCTAAAAAAAGTGTTATTAGTGTCCTTTTGTATTAGGCACAATCAAAGTCCATATTAAGTGACAGCTCCTCCCCTGAATGCCATAGCACAAAAGATGTCAGCCATGTGAGCAGAAGTAAGATTGACCAAATATTTACAAGAGTCCTTAACTGTCCATTAAATGACGACAATTTTTAACCCCTGCTTAGACAGTGACCTCCAAGCAAATGAGTGAGTGTCGTCTTAGCAAGGCTCTAACGCATCTGGTTTTCCCCTACCCACAGTACACCCTAAATGTTTTAAACCCACTAAATAAAGCAGTATCCAAGTGCCAGCTTTCAGTGTTGCAGCTTTTTATGCTGGTTCAGGTGAACAGATGATTAGCCTAAATGTAGACAAGTGCACTGGATAGTATTTAGTTAGAAGAATCACCTCTCTAGCTCCTGTTAATTTAAAGTGAAGCTCTAGGCATCTGGTGTTTGGTTCACTTTCACAATTTATAGAGAACTAGCCTGTACTTACGATACAACTTCAATATGTCACACTTCTGATTTACTAACAAAATGAAAACGAAGTCCCTGTTTATGACTATTCAGAGGTGACAGAGTATAAACTTCTTTTCCCAAAAATCAGAAGAAATACAGGATATACTTCAGTTATTCCACATTTAAGGTAACTTGATTCAATTTCACAGACTTCACCCTGCATTTTATTATCACTACAACTGACTAAAGCAAACTCCTCCTTCACTGTGACACAGGAAGAGAAGCATCTGTTCCTGGTTGTTTCTTAGGAAGGATACAGATGGGCAATTTGCTGGCAACATCCATGTGTTTTTTGGGTACTCAAATCCCTTCATCAGTTTTGAATACTTTAGTCTGATTCCGTATAAGAATATGAAGCTTTTCTACTCAGTATCAGTGCATGCAGTTACTAAAAGTGATATTCAGGACAACTGCTGTTAAGCTATGTTGGCATATGAGTCAAATTAGCTGTAATCATCATAATGAAAACAGAAGAAACACCCATGGTATATTTTTCAGTTAATGCATAGAAAGAATGAACACAGCAATTTGAATTCCCAACAACAGAATCTGACATGCCCTTAAATGAATCAAACCAAAAATATTTACATCAGATTTAACGTACTGCAAAATCACAAAGATTTCACAGTAGAAACATTCTGAAACATCTTGAAAGACAACTGGATTCCATCCTTAGCACTTTTTTTCAGCACCAGCCCAACAGTGTGCTAGACTGGAGTCTCTCCTTATAATAACACAACAGCTGTCAGCATAGGGAACAATTAAGAGAATGATCTAGGGCTTAAAATAACTTACAGTGAAGTAGTAGTGTAAAGGCTTACTTATTATCATCTCTTAGTGTTTAATTGAGCTTTACTTTATTTACTTATTCTACAATTTATTTGTTAAGTGAAATTAGAAAAGATCTAAATTTCCTGCAAAGTTAACACATCAGGATTTAAAAAAAGCGTTTTAGCAAATGGAATCCACTAGTAACTTGGCATTTCCCTTTAACATCACATTTGCCATTAAACAATTGTGTTTTTCAAAATTTTCCTAAAAATATTAGCAGAACAATATGAATTTGACGTTGAAGCTTACCTCACACATCTGTAACTGGAAGAACCTTCTTTCTTTCTCCATCTCTTCTGCAATTTCAGCTCCACTTATTTCTGTACGGATCATCCCATGCAGCTTAGCATGCTCTTTTTTCTCCTTCTCTATTTTTGTACTATAAGGCAAAGAATCAGTCAATGAAGTGAGAAATCCACAGCCTCTCAGGGAATCTGATTATTCACAAAGTCTACCTGACAGATGCAGAGCTAAACTCTTGTAGCTTTGCATATGACTTACTTCCAGATGACATTTCATTTGAAATTTGACAATGACTAAAGATCAGCAATGACATACAGTAGCTGAAAACTAATTCAATCATCTGTTAAAATAATGTCCTGACAGATATTCCAAAGGAAGATACTAAGTGAGAGGAAGATACTAAGTTCTTGCATTCAAGAAAAAAAATCCAGAAACAAAATAATGAATTTTAATTGAAAATGTAGGGGGATGTTTAAACCCAACTGACCAAACACTGGTTAACAGAGTTCAATTAATGTCACCAGATTTATTGAGTCTTGCCTGTCATCAAGTCATCTTCTATATATACAGGGTTTCCTAAGCCAAAAATCACAGTTGCCATCTCTACTTGCTACTGAGCCAGTTGGCACTGGGAATGCCGTCCAGCCGGCTGTGTTGCAGACTTCAAAGTCTGCTAGACCAGCTGTCCTAATTCCCTAAAAGTTTCCATGAACGTTTTCCAAGAGCTCTGAATAAAACAGGTTCTCCTGCAGAATATAAATGAATAACCAATGCCTGCCATACAGTATAAGTCCCCGAAACACACTCGTGCATTTGTTACAGCTATTCTCCATATTATTCTTAAAGGCAGCAGCATAATTATACTACCCAGTTAGACAAGCTTGATATGAAAAAATATATTAATAAAAGAAAATACATGAGGGTGTTTACTTTTTGGAGGAAGACAAGTTTGCCACTTGTACTGTTTATAAGCTGAAAATTTTGGAAAGAGCTTCCTGAGGAAATGCTATACTGCTTTTGAACAAGAGGAAGCATTACACATGAATACAGGAAGCAGATGAGAAGAACAAGTAACACACACACTGTCATACCTCCTCTTGGGCAGTCAAGTGTCTCTGAGATCTCTCTCTGAAAAGATGACATGTCTCAAGTGCTCTCTTAACCTGATGTTAACATTACCCTAACAGCTTATTGGAAAATGTCCTAGATGGACTAAGGACTTCCAGTCAACAATATATTCTGTACTTATACTTCTCAAGAATGAGGAACTGCCTCCTCTTACACCTCAAGCAGCAAGGGAAAACTAGAATTAATCCCATTAATCCCATCCTGTAACATTTCCACAGGGAAACATTCTGAACAGCAATTCAAAGAGCCCCACTGCGCTCTCAGTGCTGGCAGGCACAGCAGAGCCCTGTGCAGTATTCCAGCAGCCAGCACATCCAGCCAGCACTGCGCTCCTTCTCAGCCCATCGCATCCCGCCAGAAGCAGACGTTCGGAGGGAAGCTCCTCTCCTCTGAAATAAATGTTCTGAAAACCTTCACTCGCCTGAATAAAAACTCAATTGCAGAATGTTCTGTTTTCATCAAAAATTAGTCTGTACTCTTACCTGTTTACTGCCAGTTATGCCATTTTGTAGCCACAGAATACAGAGTCCAAACACAAGAATTAACCAGACATCAACCGTGAGCAAGGAAGATAAATCATTACAAAAAGATTCACAGAAAATGACAGACACGCAGCTCCTTTCTAGCACACACTCTATGAGAGTTTACATTATATCATACTTGATAGTTCTAAAAAACGTCAAACCTCAGAGCAAAGAGCCAGGACTGTTTTAATACTCTCAATTTCCGCATTAATCTAACAATTCATGAGGACAGAGAATTCACTGAAGTGTGAGTCAAGTCTAATAACTATCAATTGCTATTGTATTTTCATTGTTTACAGAGAACAATACTCAAACATAGGATGAGATGACATAACCACCTCAAAAATTTTAAGAGCTTATTAACATGTCATAAGGTGTCTCTAAATGGTAGTTAAACCAAAAGACAACTAATACTGCCAGAGTCAAACATTATGCACAATATCACAGCACTGTTTTAAGAAACTGAATTCATTTTAAAGAGCGAGCTAGATTTCAGTGGAAGAGTCCTTTCTATTCTTTAAAGGATAAACCATACTCCACAGGCAAAAAGTAGTTGAACCAAGACTAAAGCATACCGACATCTACCAAGTAATTCAGAGAAATAAGACATCCTTGAAGCCGGTGGCTGGAGTTTCAGGCTTCACGGCTTCAAAAACTTCAGAGATGCTTCACAAAAAAACCAAACCATCTCTTGGTGACAAGTACCAGGGATACATGATGGCGCATTTCACATTTGCATTTCCTTATTATTTATGCTTTTAGTCTCTAACTACATTTTCAGCTTTGTAATCCAGAATTTAACCTGTTGCTTTGCTACAGTAATATGCTACCTCCTATCTGACTGATACTACCGGGTACTTTGTTTCTAGGGAAACAAAGAAACCATGTACAGCAGTGTTGCATGCAAATCTCCTGAGTACTAAACGTTGGCTGTGTTTCCTATCCAAATGCAAGGGTCAACTCAGCTTTAAGTGTCACTCTGCTGTGACATTAACCAAATCCTTCTGGCAAAGACAGTTCTACAACGTACCACTGTGGGATTTCCAAATATTGCAGGGTATTCAGGTTTTCCAGGCAGATCAATTAAGCAAAATTAATAAGAAAATTGGAAAAACTCTAGAAAAATCCTCTAGAAGCAATAAGAAGGAAACAAATGTTTTGTAAAGCTGTTGTTCTTGAAGCTCCTGCAGCACATATCACATATACAGATTTTGCTGACTAAGATTAAAATCTGAGCACACTTGTGTTCAAAAAACGGATAGATGTGGCACTTTGGGACATGGTTTAGTGGGCATGGTGGTGCTGGGTTGATGGTTGGACTGATGATCTTAGAGATCCTTTCCAACCTTAATGATTCCTAGTTTTTACTTTCACTAAAAAATAATCCAGCCACCAAGCCAGGAAACATGAAATTATTACTGTACCCTTAATCGGTTTAGTGATGGACTTGGTAGTGTTAGGTTAATGGTTGGCCTGGATGATCTTCAAGGTCTTTTCCAGCCTAAACGATCCTATGATTCTGTGATTCAGTCCATTTACAAGGCAGCTGCACATGACTAATACACACTGAACTCAGATTTGTGTAACAGACAAGTAAAGCTGAAATACAGGATGAAGAATTACAACAGAAAAGTCAGTCACAAAATAAACAGTCTTGCCCATTCAGTTTCCACTGTATGACTATTTTTACAGCTCCAATTTGAAAAGCAACTGTTTTTCAATATAAATTTTAATTTGTATTTCAAAGAAATCAATTTTGTCATACAGATCATGGTATAAACAAACATCAAAGCAGGCATTTTCATTTTTTTTTGAACTTTAAAAAGGACAGGACCTATTTTACTGTGTAACACACCAAAGACTGTTACTTATTTTCAGCCAGTGAACAAGGGTAAAAAACTAGAACACCCTGGGTACATGTAGCAGTAGTGAACTGGCTGGTTGGGCAGCAACTGTCTGTCTTCCTCTCCTTCTCCATATAGCAGTAAGCTGGGCTGAGTCTGGGTATGTACATGAGAAGGTGCAGAGACTGGGAATAGCACCTGGAAGGCCCAGACTTGAATGGGGAGCACTCTGGAAAATGGAGTGCTTCCAAGGGCTATTTTGTTTGACAAAATAGTATTATACATTTTCATTCCAAATATCCTTTCTTTGTCTAGTCTTCCTTTTCAGCCTGACTTTCCAACTTCAGCTCTGGCATCCTAGCCTTTCAGTGAAAGGACCTCCATCTTATTTTATCCTACTGTCTGTCAAGGCTGACAGTAAAGCATGACTCTCTCTCTTATCACCCAGGTCCTGAATGGAGAAGTCATCTTTTCCCTTTGGAAATGATGGAAAGCTTTTCCCTTTCACTCATCCTGCAATGGAGGATAGGGGAGAAGAGGGCAGAATGAGAAAATGTGTCCAGATCTTTCCAGTATTTCATCCCTACTACCTGCAGATGCATTCAAAGCTTTTTTCCATTTAATTTGCAAATAATCTCTTATCAAAATAAAAATACTTAATATGAAATCGCAGACTCAAAGCAGTATATTGTAGATGTTGTTTACCTGGACTTCAGTAACGACTTTGACACCATTTCCCACAGCATTCTCCTGGAGAAACTGGCTGCTTGTGGCTTGGATGGGCGTACTCTTCACTGGGTAAAAAACTGGCTGGATGGCTGGGCCCAAAGAGTTGTGGTGAATGGAGTTAAATCCAGTTGGTGGCCAGTCACAAGTGGTGTTCCCCAGGGCTCAGTTTTGGGGCCAGCTCTGTTTAGTATCTTTATCAATGATCTGGATGAGGGGATCAAGTGCGCCCTCAGTAACTTTGCAGGCGACATGAAGTTGGGTGAGAGTGTTGATCTGCTTGAGGGTAGGAAGGCTCTACAGAGGGATCTGGACAGGCTGGATCAATGGGCCGAGGCCAATTGTATGAGGCTCCACAACGCTAAGTGTCAGGTCCTGCACTTGGGTCACAACAACCCCATGCAACGCTACAGGCTTGGGGAAGAGTGGCTGGAAAGCTGCCTGGCGGAAAAGGACCTGGGGGTGCTGGTCAACAGCCAGCTGAACATGAGCCAGCAGTGTGCCCAGGTGGCCAAGAAGGCCAACAGCATCCTGGCTTGTATCAGGAATAGTGTGGCCAGCAGGAGCAGGGAGGTGATCGTCCCCCTGTACTCGGCGCTGGTGAGGCCGCACCTGAACACTGTGTCCAGTTTTGGGTCCCCAGTACAAGAAAGACACTGAGGTGCTGGAGCGTGTCCAGAGAAGGGCAACAAAGCTGGTGAAGGGTCTAGAGAACAGGCCTTATGAGGAGCGGCTGAGGGAACTGGGATTGTTTAGCCTGGAGAAAAGGAGGCTGAGGGGAGACCTTATCACTCTCTACAACTACCTGAAAGGAGGTTGTAGTGAGGTGGGTGTTGGTCTCTTCTCCCAAGCAACAAATGATAGGACAAGAGGAAATGGTTTCAAGTGTCACCAGGGGAGGTTTAGATTGGATA